ACTCGCCCAGACTGTGTTTTTATTGAGGCCAGAGTTTGCGATGCCTGTGGAGGTGTTCCCGCGTCGCCAATGAAGTGTAGCGATTTGATTGACGATGATAAACTATTGGGTCGGTACTAATTAATGTTGTCATTGTTACCATGTGAACCAGAGAATGATACATGGTATGATAATGTATGATATATGGCCAAACAAATAATGATACATTGGGTTAGCTTTTGCTTTGCCATGTATCAGAAATGTGCTTTGATGATTTGCAATGGCTTTTTGCACAAGATGACTGCACAGCTAGGATTGGATGGCCGTGGCAGTTGTCAAAGATACAACGGCCCAAGATGAGGCACCCTTAGCCTTGGGTCTTCTGGGCTGCGATAGTTCTGGTTTCAAGATGTTTCAAGATGTTTCAAGTACTTCTGAGTTCTATGATTCTATGATATTCTATGATCTCAGGACACATTATGGAGAATCCTATGGAGAATCCCATCCCCCGGGGCCCCCGGTTCATATGAAACACCCCACACAGACGCCATGGGATTTGGGGGACATTTTGGGACCAAATTCCACATGTCTGTCCTGTTTGTTTCTCTCGTATGTATGACATGGATATTTCTAGGATGAGAAATGACAGAGGCGCGGATTCGACCGACATTGGGATGAGGCGAAGAGATATTTTTCTTCGATTTATGGATCTTTGAGGTTTAAACATTTTAAACTTTAAACCACCCACATCTTTGAGGTTTAAACATTTTAAACTGAAAAAACCAGCCACCAGAGGAGGTGTATTTGGTTTGAGGCTGAGCCAGAGTCACCTGCACTGCTGGGGTGCCAAGATTGACTCATGAGATATGACCAACAGGCAGAGATGGCTCAAAACTATAGTCATAGCACCCCCAAAAAGGCAGAACAGTAATTTCCTACCAATTTAGTGATAATTTGCGTTTCCATCTTTTTTGGGGAGTTACCAAATACCTGTACCCTGGGGTAACTGGGACTTGATGGATTGCAGAGGGGTTGAAGCCGCCATCCAGAAATTTTGTCGGTGATTTCTCCAGTTTTGATAGTTATACCGTTATACCCCATATTATCCCATTAGTGAATTAAGTTTATATAAGTAGTGTCCCATGATAATCCCCTATGAGGTTTCATAAACACATATAAACACTACATTTATCCCCCTTCATAAACCTCGTCATTATAGAAGTAATGGTTTATATATTTCCCATTGGAATTCCCCACAATGTTCATCGCTCCCAGGTGGGAGCTCCACAACCTCTCGGCCAATCTCTGAGCATCGAACGACTCAACGAAGTGAGCAGTGAGCAGTGAGATATTTAACACTCATTTTATGCATATATGAACTATGATATATAATGATATATCATAATGATATATCATAATGATATATCATTATGATATATCATTATGATATATCATAATATATGATATATGATATATATATATAATGATCCGATATATCATAATATATGATATATATATATATAATGATCCGATATATCATAATATATGATATTGTATTATCATTATTATATGATGATGCATTTGTTCTACACATTTCTGAAGGATGAGATCCGCTCCAAAGCTTTGCTGCCGGGCAGAGGCCAACATGGGGATTTCACCAGCAATGTGTTGCTGTTTTAACCATGGGTTTTACCACTCAAAATTGGGATTAAAATGGGATTTAACCACTATAAATGGTGATTTAATGGTTAACAATGGTGAATAATGGGATGATCATGGGATTTACCCTCTGGTAATTTAACAGTTTGCTATTGAACATGGCCATTTATAGTGAGTTTTCCCATGAAAAAATGTGATTTTCCATAGTTATGTTAGTTTACCAGAGGGTAACTAAAGTGACAGTTGATTCGTAAAAATGATCTGCTGATTTGATTTGAACATATTTTAACCATGATCATGATAGTTGATTCTCTTGCAATGGCTCAAAATCATTCCAACAAAGCTCCAACAACGGGAGTTCTTTAATTTGGCACGTCATTTTGAGATACTTTGAGTAGACGCAGATTGTTGAAACAGGAGAGAGCCGTTTGTAAGAAACACACAATGCTAAGGGAAAGAGTTTTTGGCGACTGCCGACTCTGCAGGTATTGATTTTCTCGAATGGAAGCACTTCGCAGCAAGGATGAAGGAAGGCATCCGAATGCTGAATGCTGAACAATCTGCCCATATCTGTCCAGTCTGTTTGAAGAAAGTCCTTTGTTGATCATCCCTTTAAATCGTCAAGTCAGGCTTGAAAAAGCTTGGCATCACTTCTGTTCCAGTAGCGGGCTCAGTTTAGTGACCTTGCCCCCCAAGCTTGTTTGCTTCTGGATGTTTCAATCAAACTTGATGGCACAGTTGACTGCGAATCATATTTCCAGGACTCTTACACACGTTCAGAATATTTTCTGGTTGGTGGTTTCAAACAGGTTTTATTTTCCACTATATATGGGATAATCCTTCCCATTGACTAATATGTTTCAAGTGACACCTGCACTTTTCAGTGCAAGAAACAACACTACAGCTGCACTTGCACAAGCCCTTTATGGTATGTGTGTTTCAGCTGCTGCCCTGTGGATGTTTGTTCAGCAGCTTGCAGTGGATGAATGCATCGGGCTTGATCATTTGTGAAACCCCACCCTCCCAACCCCTTGTGTTGCCCAAGTGCAACTGGCTCCATGGGGGGGCTATGATGTGCTGGTCTCTGCTGGGGTTGTCCAGCAGAGCCAGCATGTGGCAGCTATCCATTTGGAAAAAAGGGGGCGTGCATTGCAGCTTAGTGTTATGGTTGAAACCACCAACCAGTTTTTATATATATATATATATAATGATGTTTCGTTCTAGTTTGCAAATGGGTCGTTTATCGATTCTCGGACACCGTGCAGTTTCGTCAGTTTGGCACTTCATCTCGCCTCAGGTAACTTCAGATCCGACCGGTGGAAGTTGCTGATCGTTTTCCGATGAAAAGTTAGAGAGGGCAAAGATGACCTCCTGATTCTTTGAAAAGTCTTAAAAACGACTCAAGCCCATTGTTTTTTCCTGAAGTAATATTACTGTAGATCAACCACAAGACACGGCAGCCACATCGAAGAACCCGAGTCGTTGCGGTGGCGGCTCAAGATGAGCTGCTTGCCTGCGATGAACCTCAGCATGGATCAAAGCCATCCAGACGTTGGATCAAAATATTTCAAAATAATGTGGGTTAATTAATGATTGTTAATCTATATACCATAATGAAAGTTCATGATGGTTGATAATGGGCATAATCATGGGATAATAATGGTTAATCATGGTTATTAATGGGATAATGTGGCTAAAAGAATGCCATGAACCACCCATTTGGGAATGGTTTACCATGGTTTACCACATAAAAATGGTGATGACTGGGGGATGCTTTATGGCATTGTTTTACCCACATTAATGTCAATACCAGACGTCGACCCCTTGGCTGTTTCGGCGGATAGCGAGGCCTTTAAAACCGTATGTGTGACTCCACCAGTCAGGGTTTCGTTCACATAAAAGTTGCTGCATTCGAAGCAGGGGGGCCACGGGTGGTCAATTGGAAATACTTAAGGCTGGTTGGTGGTTTGGAACATGAATTCTTTTTTTCCACATACTGGGAATAATACTCCCATTTGACTTTCATATTGTTCAGAGGGATAGGGCTCAACCACCAACCAGTTAAGGCCATTCAATGAATGGATTGTGATTGAATCCTTTGGGTATCCCAAGAAAATCCATCGAAGGCCGCTGGCAATCACCCACTTTGATGAATATATGTTGGGATACCGACGCTCTTGTGCCGTTGTGAATCATCCAAGAAGAACTATCCCCGTAATTATCATGCCATATCATGCCAATAGTGTCCGAATAATCACTCTTTGGCAGTTTAACAAAAAGCTTTGGAAATGGCCCAGGATAGATGATTTGAGCTACAGGCTACAACCAAAATTAGTTTAATGGAGAGTAGTATTCGAGATATCTTTATTTTTTTGGAAATTGAGCTGGGGCTTGGAACACGATGATACACTCTTCAAAAAACGATAACATTTGCTTATATACCAAAACCTGAAAAACGAGAACACACACTTCAAAAATTGATGACTTGGAGCTATATACCAAATATATATATATATAATCTCTTCCTCCTAATACTAAACGTCCCCCTAATACTAAAAACAGGCATCCATCTCCAATTTCCGAAAATTTCAGTTTGGCCAATTTGACTTTTAATTGATCCCCTTTAAAAAACAATTCAAAAATCAACCTACCATTTGTGGGTTCTCCCCCCTAATACTAAAAACTAATTCATCCCGGGGTGTTTAGTATTAGGGGGGCTAGTCCTACTCCCCAAATCCAAGCTGCCTGGCTGGTCTAGCAATTAGGGGTAAGCTTCGAACTGCCATTTTTGGCAATATTTTAATTGCGTTATATAAGGAAATTTAATTGATTTTGAGATCGGAAAAAATAGTTTTTAGTATTAAGGGTTTTAATTTAGTATTAGGGGTAAGCTTTTTAGTATAATTATACACGAATGAATTGATTATATATATATACACTTATAATTATATACATAATTATGCATCTAATTAATTAATTAGAATTACTTAGAAATCTGTATAAAATGAATAATCCCTTCCTCCATTCTAATGCATGAATAACTAATTAACATGACTTCGATTTGGTTCCCTAATAATAAATACCCCCCTAATACTAAAAACTACCTGCCGTGTTTTGTATTAGGGGGGGGGTGAGGGGGGGGGGTTTAGTATTAGGAGGAAGGGATTATATATATATATGGCCCATTTACCTATAAAAAATGATGATTTCCGTAGCAAACTGTTAAAATCTCTTAAATGATCATTTGTATTCATTTGTCCCATTATATCCCAGTTATATTCCTATATATTCCTCTTATATATCCATTGTATCCCTACACAGAATCGCAGACCCTTCGAAGCGTTCGTGCTGCCCCTGGCTTTCCAGGACCAACGCTGGGTGATCTCCCCCCGAGACTCGTTGGCACAGGCCTCTGACCTATGGGACGAGCTAGATCCACTTGACCATGGATATGGTGATATATGGTTAATCTATGGTTAATAACCAGCCATGACTGGGATTAAAATGGGATTTAACCACTATAAATGGTGATTTAATGGTTAACAATGGTGAATAATGGGATGATCATGGGATTTACCCTCTGGTAATTTAACAGTTTGCTATTGAAAATGGCCATAGAAATAGTGAGTTTTCCCATTAAAAATGGTGATTTTCCATTGCTATGTTAGTTTACCAGAGGGTAACCAGCCATGACTGGGAATATATATATATCTATGGTTAATCTATGGTTTTTTTAATGGTTAATAATTGGAATAACACTATAGACTGGTTGGTGGTGACTGGAACCATGGAATTTTATGACTTTCCATATATTGGGAATAATAATCCCAACTGACTTTCATATTTTTCAGAGGGGTAGGTCAACCACCAACCAGATGGCGATTGGGTTTGATATGGTTTAATAATAAGCCAATGGTCATTTACGCATTGATATTTGGTTTATTCTTCTTCATCGAGTACCATTACCTTGGGGTCATATGCAATAGCTTTAAGAACTCGCTTCATTATCCCATGATGATACGATTAGTGATTGGGGATACTGTAAAAATCGGGACAACAGGGACAAGCAGTGGGTGAATAATTTGGTTTTCTTTTTTGGTTAATCGTGGAGAATCTGTGTGGCCGACCCTAGGAGAAATGACTACAGAGGATGGTGTATGTGGTGGCTGAAAATGGTGTGACAAGCAACTAGCTATAAAGATCAATGGTGAGTGTTGCCGTTTGTTTGGTGCTTTCCAGATTTTGGGGCTTTGGATGGCATGCCATGTTGCCAAGCATCACCCCATGCTACCCCGCAGTTTTTCTGGGAAGAACACGGACCAGCACTAGCATGGCAAGATAAACGTTTAAGAGTATACCAACAATGGGAAAAGGTGAGAGCTGGTGAGAACGAGTCAAAATCAAATACCCAAAAAAATGAGTAGTTCAGCATCAATAAATTTACATGTTCTGTTGCCTTATCGGATTTCAAAACCAGTGTTTTAGGTGAACTGACTCACAATTTCATAGACATCAGCAAATACCATGGGAAAACAATTGCTTTTTGTTCATCTCTAAATGGGGAAATCATGGGAATTTTATTTCTAAATAGGGATACAAATGGATATACTGATCTACTGTAGTCGGATAATATATATCCAACAACTGACTGCAAAACCGTGTCTAACAATATTTGGCCAAAAAAGGCAATCTACTCATCGATATCCGGCTGACATGTTGGCATTCTGTTTGCCATGCTGAACGTAAGACAAAAACAAAAGCTCAGTTTAGATATGTTTGGAGGTAACTGTGTCCCAAGAAAGACCATGCGTTCAATCACCCTCAAACTAGTTTGAATCCACCTTTCTATATGTTTCTATTTGTTTGAGGACCCCAGCCTACTTGGGCAATCGGCGGACGATATTTTCCGTGTTTCGCAATCATTTTCTGCAGGCCCAAAGTGGTGTTATGCTGGGATGCGCCTTCCAGTGCCCATCGCGCGCGAGTGGTTGGAAGACTTGAGCCAGTAAAAATACCCATGTTGCTTGATAATGACATGTGGGTTATACTGACCTCTTGGAGACAATCATTTTCATATAATTATATATATAATATATAATATATATATGGATTATTCATCACCCCTTGATTTCATAGGATGGGATAGGGTTGTTTTGTTTAACGTTTAATGCGTTCACAAACGGGTTCTTTTCCGGCTTTGCAGCGTTGGCAGCAGGTATGTGGATGACGTGTGGAACGAACTGACCAATGACGAGTGGCAAAAGGCTCCACAAGTCCGAGTCACACCTTTGGTGGTGGGTTCCCCAGTGCAGTCGCATCGGATCCACGAATGGTAAGTGATTAATTAGTAACCATGGTTGACTCATTTATACGTACACATATGGGATCATATGGGATTAATTACATATGTATGATATGTATATTTATATGATATACAATATATATATATATATACAATATATATATATATGATATATATACATATATATATATGATATATATATATATATATAATACGGGATATGCCACGAATCGGGGACTTTAGCAACTAGGGCTATTAAGCAGTTTCAGTTCTGCAGACCTTATACCTACCTTCAGCCATAGAAATTGGTGTTTGATGGGCTTTCTGCCATGAATTTCCTGCCAAAACACCAAGCTAAAAACTGATTAACGTTGTCAAGCTCATAGCCCACAGATTCCTCCACCAAGCAAGTCAGCAAGCCCACAAATACGTCACAGCATCTCTCTGCAAATTGTTCATGTACAGAAAGTCAAATACCCTCATTGACACGGATTGCCCTTTTTTGTCACACTGCTACTCGCATCACACTTGCGGCCTGCACCCACCTACACACGAAAAAAAAACTCACTTACATGGAGAGAGATGCTTCTGGAAGCCCCATAGGATGATTTGAATCACAGCAACTTGCCAGTGTTTTCTTCAGAAACATCAAAACTCCTGCATGTTTGGTGGTGTTGTCAGTATTATCAGTCATAATCTTCATGTGTTGGTTGTAAAAATCTCTTCAAGTGGCCATGCCTCGTCAAATAACTTGGATCCTGGATCCTTAGGAGCAGGCTCCAGCACGATCTCCTGCAATGGCAGGCGAGTTTGGGACATCTTCAGATCCAAAAAAAAAGGATCCCTTTGGTAGTCAAAAGTGGCAATGGTAAATCCATGTAAATCCCCTAATGAAACCATCAACAAACAGTGGGATTTAATAGGATTTAATGGGATGTAACGGGATGGATAGTCAATCATGGCAGGGAAATCCCCTATCGGCATAATTTTTTCTGGGAACATCATCCATAAACGGATGATGTGAAAAAAAGCCGTGCCTGATTGGATTTGATGGGTGTACCTTGGTCTAGGTCTCGGGGTCTCGGAAAGAAATTGGTAGACGAGCTAGATTTTTGTCACACCATGATGCATCGAGTGATATCGAATGCAGTTGCTCTTTTGATTCATTGATGCTGATGACAAGAGCACTGATTCATTGAGACAGCACCAAATTACTCCCATCCTCATGTTGAAGAATGCCCTGAGAAACCATAGAATCGGATCATATCGAATCTAGTCATCTTGGGGGCTCATATATACATATATATATATATAGTCATATAGTCATATATACATTTATAATCATTTATATATGGGAAGTATTCAGGACATATTCAGTAGCAGGTGGGTAAGGGATAAAAATCCTCAGCACATGGCCATTGTGCTGTGCACCCGTAAGGTGCTCAGCCCCTACCATCACGATCAAGGCCTCCGCCCGAAAGGGTTCTGGCCTTATGCGGAGACCTGGAGTCGTTCTGTGCAGAAACCGTGATTTAATGGTGATTTAATGGGTGATATACACTCTGGTAATTTAACAGAGCTATGGAAAATCACTAGTTTAATAGTTAAATCAGCTACACATGATCCATTTTCCATAGCTATGTTGCTTTACTGGAGGGTGGTATATAGGGGATGACACCACATATTTAAGGAACCAACCAAAATGATGCTGATATAATCCCATCCCCTTTTTTTTCAGACCACCATTCGGGATGAATCAAACCATGGATGGGATTCATCAGGGCCAATCAGAAACCATCCCAGAAACCAACCATCAGGGGGGGTCATGTTACACTCTGGTAGGCTAACGTAACTATGGGAAATCACAATTTTTAATGGGTAAATCCACTATAAATGGCCATTTTCAATAGCTATGTTAGTTTACCAGAGGGTAAATCCCAACTAGATTCAAATAGGGTTAGGCTATACCCAATAAACCTCAGTTGGGGATGGTTTATGGCATTGGGCTTACCTAAAATAACGCTGACAAATCACGACTTTCTTAGGTACCACTAACAAGGGATTGGTGATTGTGGATAGCTCATGATGGCTCCAATCATTGTGGAACACTGCTTGGTGGTTTCAAGTCGTGTTTATATGTCACTCTACCTGGTATGAGGATATGAGGACATATGATGATCCCCATCAACATTCATAGTTTTCAAGGGTTTGAAACTGAAACCACCAACCAGAAACAAACACTCCGCGAACAAGGCCAGTGTGGCTTTGCCAGCGGCAGATGTGATGCCATACGCGGCTCCAGCAGTGGCAAAGGCACAGAAACAGGACACTTGGACTGCAGATGAAAATGAACTTAAACCAAAAACACATACCATCTTTTCCTGGAAAATCATCTCTTTTTTTTTTTTCAGATTTTGCATTGCCATGTTTGATTAGCGAAGGGTCCTTTTGAGGATTTGGGAGGTCTGTCATTTTGCAGAACATTGTAGAACTCGCGGAAAAAATCTTTCTTTCATCTTTCCAGCAATCCTATCATCGGTCCTTTCCCCGTGAACAAAATCTGCAAAAAGCCGAGGCTTTTGCTGTGGATACCGTCCATATCCGAGGTGCAGATGCGTGAGTATCATTGTTGGTGCCCCAACATGTTCCAAACATTGGATTTTAATGTCAAATCTTTCTATACATTGGATTTTAATGTCAAATCTTTCTAAACCATTGGATTTTAATGCACCAAAATCTGTGTATGTGTGTATTCCCATCGACATGGCAGCCACAAAATCCTGTGGCTTGGTCAGCGTCCAGCGGATGCGTGAGTTTCAGCAACAAAAAAATCTGACGTCCAGGGTGAAATGATCCTGAAATAGATTGTATATATGGATGAATATGGAACATGTCAAAGATATGTTCATCTTTTTCGGATGATTCTTCACCCCCAACTCAAATAAATCATTAACTATATTATTATATCAATGATATCAATGAAATATATATCTTCTCCAAAAAAAGAACAACAAAAACACACATAAAGTCACATGATGGTGCCCCCCAGTTAAAAGTCGGTTTATAAACCATTATAACCCCTATTTTCATACGATAGAGTTATATCATACTTATATCATAGTTATATCTACCTACCAACCATAGTTTTTCATTCAGCCACTTTTCTGGCAACTGAGTAAGCTATATATATCTACCACGATCAAACGACGGCCCTGGTTGGCCCATCCTGCCCCCCATCCTGCAGGTGGCTTTTTGAACCCCAAGCTCAACGCGGTGTACCACATGGATTCCTCCGTGCAAGTGGGCTCTCGAGCGACTTACTGGGATGAGCAGCGTCGATTCTTCATGTACTACCAGGCCTGGTGAGCGCAGGCTGAATAAAGGTGAGAACAAGCTGAGAGGGAAAAAAGGGTGGTTTAACCAAGGAAAATGGTGGTTTAAACAAGGAAAGGATGGTTAAACTATACTACAAAAATGGTGGTTTTACCAATGAACATGGTGGTTAAACGGAGAATAATAGTTATCCAACCAACAAAATACCGGAATATCATGGTGATATTGTGGGACATTGGGGTATAAAACCACCAACATGATATTTGGATGTGTCTGAACATGATTTACCCCAAAGTCCCAAAGTTATAGTTTTTTTTTTAAAAAAAAAACTTTGTTTCAATCCTTGGGGTTGGAATATTATGGTACCCACAATTTTATGGCATCCCAAGGCTATCTCCGCTGTTTTTGTTTTGCATGGAATCCTTGAAATGACTGATATTTCTGCGCATGTTTAATTTAAGTGTCAAGGGTGTGAATTGTTTGTGGTTAAGTGTATATAGATGTATTAACCAGTGTTTAATTTCCTTGCTTGTTAAGGCATGAAGGTTTTGTTGATGCTACTTCAAGGATAGCTGCCAGGGCCATCCAAGTATCTTTAAACATTGCGTATGTGCCCCAAAATTCTAGTAATTTGGAGGGTCTAGATATTTATAGATCACTATAAATCACAACATTTCCAGATATAGTTTTGGGATTAATATCCCATTATATTATATTATATTATGTTATATTATACTATATTATGTTATAGTATATATATATGATATCCCAACATTTACCATACATCTTGGGATATTTCATGTATGCTTCATGCTTCATGGCCTGAGCAAACCTTTCTTCGACATGTTGCGACGCTTCTAGGCTGCGATGAAGAGATGGGCCATCAGTATCCGCATCCATGATGCCAAGACAGGTTTGGAGCTGATGTTGATTGCTGTTTTTTTGGTGATGTTTCTGGATAATGTTGGGATATGATCTGTAATTAGTAAATGTTGGTTTTATGAATGTCAATCATTGTGATGTTTCTGGATATGATATGTATGTATATGTCATCAAAAGTTCTTGCCTGTTCTTGTTTTGCTGTTTTTTTCGGTGAGCAAAAGAACCAATTACATGATTGCAATTGCAGTGAACAACCGCGAAATTCGAATGATCTGATGCTCTCGTCATTCTGGGGTAACTTCAGAAGCCCAGGGCGGCAGACATGTCTCGGATTGCAACGCGCAGGCGAAGATATGTTGGATCATGCCAGAAGAGGTGGCTTGCAGAAGCCTCAGACATTGCAGAAGAGGTTGGTGATGCTCCAAGATATGGATTCTCCCTAGATTTTTTGTTTTTTTTCCAGAAGTACTGAAAGCCAGGAGTAAAATTGATTTGGGTATGGCTCAGCAGATCCAAAAACTGATGGGTCAAGACTCACACCAGTTGATAGCAAATTCATAGATTGTTTGCTGGTAAACTGGGCAACCCAATAGTACATCATCCCCAATTTCACCATGAATGGTTTCTTAAAAATTATCACTACCTGATTTATTATTGGGTTTACCCTCTGGTAATTTAACATAGCTATTGAAAATGGCCATTTATAGTGGATTTTCCCATTAAAAATGGTGGATCTTTCCAGTTCGCTATGTTAGTCATTACCAGAGGGTACATCACTATATCTCCATTTTACAGATTTTTACAGCAGTTATCCAACCGTTGATCACAATAAACCCAGTAATAAACCTATTATCACTACCTGATTTATTATTGGGTTTACCACATTACTCTTTCGTCTACTCCGGTCCTAGGTGTGGTTTTGCCTTCGAGGCTCACGGGAGGGCAGAAAAATTGTTTGCCGAAAATTTCTTATCCCTATGTACAAGCCATTTTCAACATGGGTGTGTCTGAAAATGTCGTGTACCCCTGTGTACCCAATGGTTTTGCTGATCATTATCCCGTTTTTTAATGGCTATTTCATTGGGAATACACCCCATTTTCAGACATACCCACATCAAGCGGCTTGGTTTCTTACATTCGAAGTATTCACATGTCATGGTTCAGCTGTCTTGGTTGTTTCGCCTTAAGGTTGGTTGAATCCTCTTTCTTGCTGGTCACATCCTCATTCTTTTGGTGGCTAAAACCCCTATGTTTTTTGGTTAGGCAGGTTAGGCTCCTGTCTTGCGAAGAAATCCCAAGTCTTGTTGCTTGCGTCTCAGTGATGATTCACGGCAGGTGGACAAGCTAACGAACCAGTGGAAAGAGTTCTACGAAGGAAGATGGGTGACTGTTGCCTTCTCAGTGGATAAGTTGGCATGATAAGGATACACAGCAGACATTGTCCCACCAAAACTGGGCAGATTCAACATTTGTTCTGTGATGATTGCAGCGAAACCATTTAATCAACAGCAGCGACGACAACAACAACAACAACAGCATCGGATTCAAGCAAAAGACTGGGAAATTGCCAGCAACAAAATGTGGAAGTATAGGCTCAAGTTGGCTGGTTGGTTTCTCATGTTTGATGCCTCTTGTGCTTTCAATTGCTGCCCGGTGGTTTCAGATATATTCTTGAGATTGGACAACGACACACCAGGTACATATGCCAAAGAGCAGACCCCATGTGGGATAGGGATAGGCTTAAAATTCACGGTTGCGAAACATAGCAAAAATCATCAAACATCAGAATTTTGAGGTCCCAGTGAACCCAAAAGTATGGGCACGTGAAGATCCGAACGGAATCGATTCTGCCTGGGCGTTCATAAAGGGCACCAGTGTTGGACCCATATCAGTTCCATTCATCAAATTATTCAAATGATTTCTCAAGCAACATAGATCATGGACAACATATCGGGGCTGGGCTCAGGTGCAGATTGACATCCACAAACTTTGCACAGGGAAACGAGCTCCGCCAGCCAACAGCTTATTACCTGGGGCTGAAGGCGGCATGTGGTGCTCAAATTGAAGGGTTTAACTTGTGAGTGGGTCAGGAACCATCCAATTGCCAGGCAAACCTGTGAAACATGAATCAGTCTAGTCTAACCGTCTAGCCTTGAATTGGGCTGCTGCCGCTGCTCAGGTCGCAGCAAGGACCACTGCCTCCCATGACTTGCCACCTGAAACCCCTCTTCCCATGGCAGTGAAGCCGGAGCCACCATCACTCCCACCTCAACCCCCCCAACCCCCCCACCCACCCCAGCCACCCCAGCCACCCCAGCTATCCCAGCCACCCAACCCACCCCAACCTATCCAGTCGACCAGCCGTGCACCGGCCGCTGCGGCGCCTGCAGTGGCCCCAGTCTCGGCACCGTCGGCTCCGTCGGCACCGTCGACTGTGGCCCCCTCTCCAGTTGCGCCAAAGACATCGTCTGAAAAACAGATGGCCGCGCCGCTGGAACAGGAGGCGAAATGGCTGGGTGAAGAAACATGGTAAAATATGGTAAAAACGTGGAACATGACACGTATATTGAAAAGACGATTTGAATGGGTGTGCAGCATTTAACTTGTGGTCCCTTTCTTGGTGAATTGGAAGCTCAGCCTATATTAGCCTATTCTGAGACTGAAACATCAGGCGCAAGCAGAAGACTCTGCACCCAAGGGTGAAGTTGCAAAGGCCAAAGAAGCCGAGGCTGGGTTTGTCCGCTTCAACCAGCTGAATCTTGGAAGCTCTTATATTCCTGAGCCCACTGCTACAAGGTGGTGTTTATGACTCCTTTTTGATCCTTTTGTCATTTCCCATATCCAAAATCTATCCAAAAACCTATGAGAACTCAGGGCATCTCAGGGCAAATCACTCAAGGCCAGGTTTGGTTCCAACTCGAGGCCAAGAGTTCAAAGGAGATACCATCGGAAGACGAGTCGCATGAGGAGCCGATGACTGATGGCTTCCGATGGCAGGGGGGATCCATTGAATCCATATCAGGGTTGTAGTGACTGATTATGATATTTTTACCTTAATGTTTAAGATCTATATATATATAATATATATATATATATAGTGGAATTCCGGATCTTAATATTTCTTACTATACATCAGGGGTGTAGTGACTGATTATACTTGGTCAACTTCAAAAGAATATGCAAGAGTATGACTGGTTGGATCTGGTTAGATGGCATGAAAGTACCGAATTGATTGTTTGGGGATTGGTTGGCACCCACCAACGAGATTTTCACATAAACTGAGGAGAAGCGGAAGAAACGGAAAAAGGAGAAGGATGCGAAGAATGCTGACGAGAAAGAAAACCACAAAGCCGACAAGAAAGCCAAAAAGCTGGAAAAGGAGGTCGGGGGACCGGATGAAACAGGCCAGTTGCTCAGCGTAACACATGGTTTGGGTCAAGTCACCTGGGCCCCATCTACACCAAAAAAGCGTCGATTTTTTGGATCAGTCTGTCTCATAGACGAAACATAATTTAAATATGCTGTATACCTATAGTTCTGTATCATACCCGTTTGTAGCACCTAAATGTTACCCTGTTGGTTACTTAAAAAAAAGAAATCAAAAAATGAATTAATTCTGCACATGTTAAACGTTTATTACATGGATAACAATTTGAAATATAGATAGTAAATGATAGTAATACGTATACATATAAGATGACCTAGTGCCCTAGGTTTAGGACCGTACCTTGGTAGTACCAGTATGTAAAATAGATTTGAAGACGGGGGGGGCTTAGGGGACAGGATAAAAAGTTGGGCGCGGATTCGACGCTAGGATTGTTTTAGAAAGGGGGGGTTGGATAAATATGACCGAAGCTCAGACGCTGGGAGACAAGGAGTTTATTTTTCACGGGTTTTTGATGTTGTATGGATTATGGATGTTATAGCTAACATCTCTGATTTTAACATCATTGTTTTTTCAGTTTTTTTCTATGTTGATAGGTTGGAGCCCCAGGAAAAAGAAAAACAAGCAATGCTTTTTTTCCAAGGAGTGAACCTCCCTTGGCGGTCCAAAGGGGGATTCTGTATCCGTATTTCACAATTCCACCATTTTTTTCTGATTGAATCCCGGTTTTTTGCCCTTAAAAAATGTCATTTCTTGCTGGTTGAATCCACGTTCTTGGTGAACTGCCTACATTTCCCTCCATTTCTGGCTGCCTATTTTTGTTGACATCTCCCATCTAAGTATTGCTGGGTTCCCCATTGATTGTATCAAATTATATCATTTATAATTATCTTTTTTTTCCATGGTGTTTCCATCCCAACTGGTTGGTGGTACTATTGGCTCCAAAAAAAACACTGCCATTTTGCTGCTAGGAACGTGCGCGGAGGAAGGAGAATAAGATGAGGGAGAAGATTCGTCAGGTGCACACCATGGGTGTACATTCCCCAGAAACAAACTGGGGATATGATAGGTAATGATAGGTACCCTCTGGTAAACTAACATAACTATGGAAAATCACAATTTTTAATGGGAAAACTCACTATAAATGGCCATTTTCAATAGCAAACTGTTAAATTACCAGAGGGTATATCGGTATATCGGTATATCATTGGCGGTGCCATGATTTTTTGTTCCCTCCAAAGTGTGTGGGACGATGTGACCAACAGGAATATGGAGCTTGAACCAGCAGGAATGGGAGTTTGATCCCGAAAAAATGGTGAGTTGAACTATAGTTTCACATGAAAATCAACAAGAATCCTCACTTAGGACTTGAAGCAACAAACAAAATAGTGAGGCATAATAGTGAGGTGATCTTTCCAGCACACATACATATGGACTTAGCCTCTGCTATACCGCATGAGCAAGGGACCATCATGGGTTTTGACCGGAACCTTTCAAGGGATACCAACCAACTGGGGCTATTTTATCCAACCAACTCTTTTGAGCCCGTGAATTGGGGATGTGTTAGATCATTACTTGGGAATGGAAGAGTTATGAAGCGATAGCAACCGGACCCACAGCTGCCCAGGAGATGCTGGCTGCGCGGGCCAATAAGCCTTCCAACACCAAGGGTCCGACCCTGAAGGCTTCGCCCAAGAAAGCCTCACGCAAGGCACCGCTGGATCCGATGGGTGACATAGGCATCATAGGCAAGATTCTATCGGATTAGCTGGGCCCTGGTATTACTGAACTGGTTAATAACTGGATTATAGGTGGTTAAATATGTTAAATAATGGATGATCACCCAGTTACTAACTAGTTAAGTAGTAACTTGCCCATCCAATCCGATAGAATCTATGTAGACTTCTGAAAGTATCTGCAAGCCAGAGATCTATGTCAGTTTTATTTATTAAACATATTGACCTTCCAATTTCTTAAGATTTCTTGCGCACTACCGGAAGCAAAAATGGTGAGGAGATGATGCAACGAGCAGGAAAGGAACGTGGTGAGTGGCTTGTTCTACCCTTTTTCTCTCTGATACAGTACATTCACTTGGAGATCATTGGAGCCTTTTCTTGAGATGTTGAGGCAAAAAATACGGATAAACGTAGCACGCAGAAAGGATCTGGATGATACTGGGTTTGTTCAAGGTGATGCGGTTTATTTTCCCAATAGGACATCCATGATGACTGGGGAATCTATAGGGAATGTGTTCTATTTTGTTGAAGCCCTTTAAGCGAATCCAAGGAATCATGCAGTGCCAGAGCTGCAGGTCAGGGATTCGCTGAAATCCAAGGAGGAGCGGAAGGAGGTCATGACAGGATATGGGATTCAGGTCTGAGATGAACAACTGAGAAGTTTTGTATGGTAATACACATGCATCTTCTTAATGATTATACATGGATCTCAATAGTTCTTAATCATATTAATGGACCTTAAATCTTAATGTATGTTTTAATCAGATTAGTGTATCTTAATAGGTATTAATTGCATTATTGGATCTTTATGACTATTGATGATGATTATTTGATCTCTATGATTATTAATGATATAAATCGGTCTTACTGGTTCTTAATGACTAATAACGGATCTCAATATTGCTTCTTTATCATATTAATGGATCTTACTGCTATTACTGGTTCTTTTAAAAGAAATCTATTAACATATCTCAATGATTCTTTACCATATTAATGGATCTGAATGGTTCTTAATGCTTATCAATGTTTCTTGATTAATGGATCCTAATGGGTTCTGAATGATTACTGTATGCATTGTTATTGATGCCTCTTAGTGACTATTGTAGTGGTTGTGGATGGTTATTGATGTCTCGTCAGGGGGCATGGATAGTTATTAAATGTTATTATATAATACTTATGAACGGTGATTTGATGGTTATCAATGGTTATTACCCTCCAGTAACTTAACATAGACCCTGAAAATCACCCATTTTTAATGGAAACTAGTCTTCCAACCCCGATGACTGCCAGGGTCTATGTTAATTTACCAGAGGGTAATGATTATCATGTGTTATTGATGGTCATGAATGGCTATTGCTGTCAACCCTGGATCGAAATGATGGAAATTTGCCACAGTTGATTGAAGATTGACTTTTCTGTAGGGGGGACCATGTGGAACTATCACTGTTTTAAGAAAAAAAATAGGGGCCTTCCGTCATGACGAAACTTGCGCAGCTCATCCGGGGTTGACAGTAGGAAATGTCTTGAAGGTATCAATCCATCTATAGGATGATTGAAGCTCTAAGTTTGAGACCAACGCATCTGGGTATGGGTCCAAATTATGTCAGAATTATCAACCAACACATGGCCACACCATTATACAACATATGACCAATTTCGATAGATTTCTCCAATCAAAGTGGCTGATAGTTTATTTAGCACTTGGCAATGACATGCCATTCGGTAATTTTCAGGACATTCTGCCATTTAGTTCGCTGATCTTTGCATTATCCTAATTAGATTCACCATGAAATTCAAGAAAATCCCCGGAGAGATCCCATTAGATTCCCGTTCGAATCCCATTAAACATCATTTAAACCAGTTTGTTGATGGTTAAACCAGTGAATTGTTGATGGTTAAACCAGCGAATTTGCGGCATATCAACTCCCTCATTTTGTAGCAGCTAGCTCCGGGTTGACGGGCCAATAATCACAGGCCAAGCGAAGAGAGAAGAGTGAGCGAAGCTCCGCCCCGCAACTGGTCTGCCAGTGCTGTGATATTTTTTGGATCAAAACCTATTGGGAAATACTGGGAAATACCATTCTTTTTAATAGAAAGCAAGCCATAGCAGCCAACCCACATTTAAAAAATAGCAAGGTTCAAATGATAACAATTTCAGTGGGATTTTCTGTACTTTTCTATATTTTTTGGGCGGTTGCTATAGATATTTGTTGAGGATGAACCTCCATACCATCTCAGATCATCTCAGCTACTTTGGCAACAGCAGGGTACCAGGGCTTTCACCCATAACATCCCAGAACCCTATTTTTTGAGGGTTCATTTTTGCTATGATTTAAACAGCAACATATGGGCATAGTATGGGAATATAATGGATATATAATGATATATATATATATGTACAACACTAGGAGATGGGTTTGATTAAAGACCTATATCAAATTGCCATGGTCAAAAGTTGGATTGTAGATTAGCCCATTGATTCGGGGATTGTAATCAATCCATCCACAGTGACTTAAATGCCAAGGAAGTGCTTGTGCAGACATTTTATGGTATGTGTTATGAGAAAGATTATGATTTTTCATTGGGAATTTGGAGATTACTCATTTTCGGACACCGGTATTGAGACCATTTGGAATTACAGAATTTCACACGTGTCGGATGTTTTTTCTCGAACTTTCAGAGTTGACCATCCAGCTTAGGGGTCTGTAGTTTTGGACCCGCATGACGATGGTCATCTGGTCATCGCACACCATCAAACGGCTGCAGAGGTGTGTCCACGATGCATATCAATTAACTTGTGATGCACGGATTTCTGGTTTATTTCTTTGTCAATTGTTACGTTCTTTTCAATTTTTTGTTCCATTGTTCCATTTTGTCGGGAAGACGATTCCTGGCAGATGAACCTTGGCTGATGGGATCTTGACAGGGATCCCTGCGCAATACTACCCCAGAGACTCATTTGTTCAGTATGCATGGGTTTGTTTCTGGTGATATGTTGTTTTCTTATGGGAAATTTACCAGTTGTAGAATCTTTGGAGATCTTGATATTGTTAGTTCCCACTATATCTCCACAAAGAAACTCAAAGAAACCCAACTTTAGAGCATATTCCTTCTTTGGAGGGCGCCATATTGGGGCCAAATCGATCAACCGCGATATGGCCTCAATGGCTTGAATGAATCATACCTGAGCCATGAGCAAAACGCCTCTCTTGATTGGTTGATTTGTTGGGAATTAGTAACCAAACTGGCTAAAAACGGAGTTATAACTATATAATCGATGATAATAATCTTTACTAATCTACCAGTATATATACAGTAATGGGATGGGAAAGACGTATGTTTCATGGCTTACCTGTACCATCCTGCACGAGTGGTTGGCCATGGCTAATCCATTAAAAATCAAAATCATCCTTCAGAAAGAATTTGGTCAAATATCTCCAAAATATACTACTAGACACCCAAAATTACCATGGTGCGCCAAATAAGGATAAATGTGGTACCTTTTGGTAATTCAAGATAGGAGCATAGCCCATTAGATGATCAACCAGTTACAAACAGTGATTTTCCATAGCAAACTGTTAAATTGCCAGACTGTATGTCGGATGGCCAGACATGACTGTACTATAGATTTTTCATGATTTGACTTACAAAGTGTAATTCACATAGAAACGTCCGATTGTGATATCTCTTTGTTTCATGTCTTATATCCATACCTAGACCCTCGAAATACCACGAACAAATGGTGGAGTACTCAAGTTTTGGGTTAAAGCACCATTTTTAGGGTACAAAATGGTACAAACGGATGGTCTATGTAGCTATAATATCACATAATATCCATTCAATGTGGGAATTTCCATCACACTTCTAGCACTGTGCCCCCCTTCACCACGCTCTGGGCGCGTTCCGAAAAAGGTCCCCCTCGGAGCCGGCCTCGCCGGGCGGGCCGTCCAGGCTCTGCGGGTTGCATCACGATGGATCTCATGAGATATGATGACAGCACGGGCGACTAGACCCAACAGCTGCAGAATGAAAACACAAAATGTCACTATTTAGTGATAAGTGATGAAGTTTAGATATATAATGAATGCTAATGAGATATACATCAGAAGAATCACTAAGTCACTAAGATCTAATGAGACTGAGATAAGCTACTCGTACTGTTGAATTTTAAGCACTATTCAGCTAATCACCCAAATGATCACTTTCTCCAAATCCCCAGGGTTGACAACGTAGCCAGATGCTATGTTTGTGAGTTGGTGCCAGGGCTAAAAAACGCTATGTTAGATTTCACCGGTGTATATAATATATATGATAGATTTCAACATTGCTACTAATATCGTAAAGTGCACATTCTAACGAATTGTTTTATCATATTTTTTCCTATTGAAATATGTTAAAATAACATTTAAATTTAGATATCCCGCATTTTCAGACACACACACATTACCACAGTGATATTTTAGCCATCCATGTTACCCTCTGGTAGTTGGCTGGAACATCATTCAGTTGGTTCAATGTTTTTCCCAGCTATAAACCTCCATTGAGGTCCGGATTTCCGATTGCCATGTTTGAATTGCCAGAGATAAAAGATCTAATGTTTTCGAACATTGGATTTCATTTTCCAGTTCCATTAGATCTTACCACTGAACTAAAAAGTAATTAGAAAATCTTCTAATGGTAAATTTCCAGAGTGTTTGGTGGTGTAGATTTCCTGGTTTCATCTTGTCCCAAACAGTTGGGAAGTTTGTTTTTTTCCACTTCCTTCCAGTTGTCATTATGCTAGTTGATAGTGGTTAGTAGTGGCTAAACAAGGTTGATTGTGGCAATACCAGACATAATAAGTAATAACTAACTACCTGGACACTCAATTAACGCATATAAATTGATATGTTGCGATTTTAATACATTCACCCATTTTGATGGGTACAAACTGAGTGTCTGGGTACATCCATTTGCCGGCTATTTTGATGTTCACAAGAGTACCAGGATTATGATCAGAAAAGGAAAGGGCCGAGCAATCTCTGGTTGTTTCATCCTGGTTGCTACAGACTCTGTGCAATTTGGAACCATTGGTAGACACAGCGAGTCCAAGTTGCTATTCATCAATGGCCATTTCAGGATCCTAAATTGGAGGTACCTACCATATATAAGGCCTATATAAGGCCTATGTAAGGGAATATCCCACTTTTCTGGTTTCTCCCTTCGCACATCAGGCGGCGGCGTTGGCACGCTGCCATAGCCAAGCCTTGGCCCAGCCTCTGGTCTGAGGCCAGGATCACCGCTCGGTCCTCATAAGTGGTTAGTAGCTGGGGGTAGTTGAGCTATTTGTGGCTTTGGCCATGGGTTTGTCAGATATTTTTAAGGGAAAACCTCAAAATCCAATGGTTGTTTATATCATGTTCTCATTTACAAGGACTATATTTTGAGGTATACCATGCTATACCCCATTTTCAGACACTCCATTATAAATGCGATAAGCCACGCAATGGGGAACTAACCAGGGTTATTAAGCGCTTACGATCTGTGGGAAGATCCTCCAAGTACTAACCACCAAACTATGGTAAGCTTCGACATATTTCCATGGTCAGATGGGAAATCTAGTAAGAAGTTGGGACATATAGATATAGAAACTATAGTCTTACTGGTGCTAAACGTAGGGAATGGATGGGAATGGGGGTTGCTGGGATTGTTATTGATGGTTAGCCAGTGGATCATTCCCTCATTCCCTACGTTTAGCACAAGTAAGTTTGTGTTTCAACCCTTTGGTTATTGAACATAGCTATGGAAGCCATGGCCCATAGAAATAGATAATAAACATGATGGATTTAACTATGAATTAAACCACAGGGTAGTAACTATAGTAATTTCCCCATCTCCATTCGTAATCTTCAGATTACCTGCCTGGATCCATGCAGCAAAATGAAGAAAATGGAGAATCCGGATCCTTGGATCTTTTGGGAACACCAGGATGAATAGAAAGCAACTAGTTGAATCACAGATCATATCTCATAGTGTGTTGAATATTTTGTTGACAACACGTAATACATTGATAGGGAAATCACTCGGCATTAGTATTACCATGAGTAGGGTGGATGAAATTACTATTACGAACTACCACATGGTGACAGTCTGCTATTAAATCACTACTAAATCAACCAACATGAGACTATATAATTAGGGGTACCATTTTTGTAGCAGATGAAATGACTTTTGGGCGATGTCACACTAAGTATGTCATGTTGCAATATTTGAGTCCCATAAGTAATTTCTCAACCAATCATTGGCATCTGGAATTGAGTAGCAATATCCAGCAATACCTCTCTTGATCAATATGTCATCCATTTGATGGCTGGCAGACCAGTAGTATACCTTGGTTATGGTGGTATCAACCATCCGTGCTTTGACATTTCTATTGTCCGTCGAGACATTGTGCTGGGTGTTTACCTTGGTTGGGTATCCAATGTTTTGTTTTTCAATGGAAGTGCTCATGGTTTTTTAGCCAAATACGCTGGGAAACCTTGAGTCATTTAGTATAACAAATCTATACATGAAGGTGTGTACTGTCAACCCCGGATTAATAAACTTTAATAAACCATGGTTTATTAATTAGGGGGGTACTCCTCCAATAGTCATGATCTGATACTTAAATGGTACCCTCCCAATTAAACAGCCTAGGGGTTTATTAATCCAGGGTTGACATTACACAATATACACATATCATATAGCGAGAAGTTTTTCTCCTGAGAAGGGTATCCCAGATTGGCTTGGCGAAGATGGGGGGCGTAGAAGAAGAAGCAAACTCGTCTAAAGAACTCATCTGGATTTAACAAGCAAACTAGAGGATTCAGGCCATGAACGTATGTTCTTTTTTTAAATAATGATCATCAAACATTAGGGAGTTAATTAAGTTTCAATGCTTATGGGCCAAAAATTGAGATCTCTTTGGGCCCACTGATGGATTCATGTTTTTTTATTGCTGGGGATGGGGACTTTCGTATCCCAAAACGGCGCAAGTATCTGTGAATTGAGTATATAACCATACTATGATCAGCCTCTAAGTTACATACAGCAGATCAAAGACCAAAGGCGACGACATATATATATATATATATATTACATTTATTTAGTTGTTGAACACAATGTCTTTTTTTGAATGTATCCCAAGACAACTTGTTCATCTTTGGTTCAGGATGACGCAGCGACTGCAGTGACCAGTCAGCCGCCTGAAGGTTTGGTCCTGAGTGGGCGAGCCGCTGGGTTGGTTTGAACATGGAGAGCATCCCAAAATATCATAGGTAGTTTGGACATGCTCTAAAATAGCTTTGAAAATAGTTTGGACCATACTTTGGAACATAGTTTGAAAAGTAGTTTGGAAAATAGTTTTGACAATAGTTTTGAACATAGTTTGGAGCACATGTTTCCTCATTAACCGTGGCAATGTTTGCTATTTTGCGAGATTCGTGGCGGATGATACAGCAATGGAATGAAGCTGATTGGTGTTGCCCACCAAGCATGGGTTTCACCTACCTGACAATGGGCAATATCAATGTGTTTTATCAAATGGCAGATTGCCATTGCCATTTTTTTCTTTTCAATAAAAGAGGTTTTTCTTTTAGTAGGCTATGAGTCAAACTTATCATATATAGGGTACCCAGATGCTCTATGTATGGAATATTTACCTACATTTGGGCAATTTTTGGGGTAAATGTCGGTAAATATTCCATACATGGAGCATCTGGGGTAATCCAAGTTGTCATATTTTGTTCAACCTTCCCCAAGAAAAATCACACGGCCAAGGTGCCACGGTGCCGCAACCATCTCAGGCAGGGGACGGCGCCGGGAGATCCAGCGACGAAAATCAACGGATCGTGATTAATGCCATAGTCATTAGAAACCTCTATGAATCACCATATGAGGGTTTCCATAAATGGGGGTACCCCAATAGCTGGATGGTTTATAAGGGAAAATCATGGAAAATCCAATTAAAGTGGATGATTTAGGGGTACCCCCATTTATGGAAACCCTCATATGGTGATTCATAGTTTCTAATAATCATGAAGGGGTTTCTAATGAATAACCATAGTCATAAAGTTAGAATTTGTTTCATACTGAATGCATCTTAATACTGTAGTAATACTGGATTAGGTAGATCTTATCAGAGTATATCATCAAATATTCCATCAACTGATATTCTGCGACGGATCGTCTTGCATCTAGACGTGAAGCATTGGCACGAAGCAAGCGACAGTGCCCAGGCATAGTCAGCTATGGGGCATGCTGCGGGTGTTTGTGCAGCCAAAAAAATCAGCTGCCCTGTGGGTTTCCCCAGACATGGGGTCCAACAACTAATTCTACAGTTGCAAACTGATGACATGGGCATATTTTGGACATCAAAACCATTTCTGAATGGACAAAAGAAAGTGTCTTTATCGCCTTCATCTACCAGTGTGGCTGGTTTTGTCTGGTTTTGTGGCTTTGTGAAAAGGGGCTCCATAAAGGGCTCCATGGGGCTCCAGTTGAAACCACGAACTCAAGGACATTAATTTGACATTTGAGATCCTCAACCCCGACGAATCATTTTTTGGGGTGGCTCAACCACCACTGAAGTGAAATTTCTTCAAGGACTCATTGAGATGTTTGCAGATGATGTCGACATTTGGGACTAGTTACATTCCTATCACTAGTCTCACCCAGACTACTTGTTGGTTGAGATTTCAGGTTGGCATCCCCTATCTCTCACTTTTCGTCCTGTGGCTTCCTTTGGACACTTTCTGGGCAGCTTGAAGCTCAAAGTCATCAGCACATTACAGCAGCGAGCCGAAAGGTCATGCGAATAGCCAAATCCTGCAGGGTTTGAACATCTCCCATATCCAATGACTGGATGACATACATTTCTATACCTTAGCAGTACACATTCATGATATTTCATGATTTTGATGATTCATGTTGGGAGATTTGTGTACTCTATGTTGAAACCAGAATGCTAGGATTAAAATATTGATGTACACAAATCTATAATTTCCCCAGACTTGGTAATCCAAATTTAGAACAGATAATTCAGATTTATCTTGCTGCGATTTGCTAGTTCTGTAGCTCAGCCATGCTGGTCCTGGCCTCAGTGGAGCTTGCTTGAGGTCATGTTAATTACCGTAAATCAAGTAGTGAAGACCCATGAATATGATAGCATGATATTAAAACAGTAAATCAAAACCTAGGAATAGTAGATTCGGAAATTCGTCTATTCTGGCAGGGTCAAGAGGTGTGCCAGTTAAAACCTCCCTTTTTCAGGGGTGTGTTGTTTTTTTTTTCGGACTTTTCACGGCCCAGGTGATAATCCCCAAGATAAAAGTCATAAATATTGGACAATCTTGAAGATGAAATCTAGACTTCATCCACATCTACCCTCTGGTAATTGGAAAATCACAATTTTATAGCTGGGTAAATCAACTATTTCGACTGGGCCATTTTCTACCAGAGGGTAGATGATTTTTGTTCACCTCACGGCATCCTCTGATGTCGTTTTTTCCATGATGATTTGGATTTGGGAATCCCATTTTTTTTCCGAGGTACGAGGCATTTTTGGCCTGGTGCTGCTGCGTCTTTGCACAGGTGGGACATGGGTTACATGGATGAACATGGGACATCATGGGACTGTTTTTGGAGGGATTTCATATGATTTCATGAGCAAAACCTGGGAAAACTTTGGTTCAGAATGTGGTAAACCCATAAATCATCATGTAAACCATCCCTAAAATCACCATGAATGGATATCAATGGACGGTGACCTGGATGTGCTGCAGATGATGTTTAGTTTGCCACTGGTTAATCCATGTAGAACACCACCATGATTGGGGAATCTCCTGGCTCATCTCCAAATGCTAGGCCAGATATTGGGTTTACCATATCAATCCAGATATAACATATTTCTGGTTGGTGGTTTGGAACATGAATCTGATTTTCTCATTTAGTTGGGAATTTCATCATGCCAACTGACTTTCATATTTTCAGAGGGGTTGGTATACCACCAACCAGATTATAACATAATTATATATATATGATTCATGTAATAATAATAGTAGTAATAATATGTAATAATAATAATAATAATAATAACAATAATATTATATAATCGGAAGATATCAACCACCATGGATTTGCTCAGAAGTGTGAGTCTCACCAATTCTAATGACAATTTGGATGCAATTTGCGTGAGGAAGATATGGGTACGATGATAAACCACTGGATTTTAGCGTTGGACCAGGAGACTGCCCTCCCAGACCATAGGTTGTTACAAGTTGTTTGAGAAAACCAAGTTTTGGGTACCCAACCTATGACGTGGTGTGAGTCATTATATACTCTTGAAATGTCTAGAATGTATATTATTTTACTGCCGGGCCGGGAATCAAAGATGCAAAGCATGCTGCCTCCTTTCGCGGAGATGTTGCAGTGGGATCAGAATAGATTACAGCACATTTGGGAAAAAAGTAAAGAGTAGCAGAACTTATGGAGCAGGAACTCATGACGAGTAATATATAGATAGAAATATGCCGTCCTCTGAACTTGGAATTCTGCCTTCCACCTTTGAATTTGATTTCACAGAATTCATATCTCAGAGATCTCATTCCCCAGCAGGTGCCGACCTCCCAGCGAACGCATCGAGCCTTGTCACAATGAGAAGCACTGAATTGGGGATACCTGGCCTGGACGTAAGGCCGCTGGAAATCTGATGATCAGATGATATACGCTCTGGTAAACGAACTAACATAGCTATTGAAAATGGCTCATAGAAATAGTTGATAAAAACCATTAAAAAAAAGTGGTGATTTTCCAGTTCGTTATGTAGCAGTTTACCAGAGGCTAAACCATGATAAACCACTAGATATGCATCTGGGTCCCACAGCTGGGTAGATTCAATCCATAGCTACCAGCTGATTAGCTATGGAAAATAGGCTTGCTATTAAAATGGCTAGATTCAGGTCTTTGATGTTTCACCAACTGACCCTCCAGTGCTTTGACCCAAAATGGACCCAACATGACCCAACTTGGGATGTGTCAAAGATGACCAATTGGAGGCTCCGACTCCAAGATTTGATTGACCCATTTGGGCCTGAAAATAGGCTTATGGTTCATGATTATTTTTATCATTTTCACCATGACAATTGCCCTTTTATGGGGCCACCCTATTTTCAGCCCTGCAATTCCCAGATCTCTCCAGGTTGCCGAAAGCCTTCTTATCCACAGCTGCACCAGAGCTGGAGACGGCAGATGTCCACCCCGCGCCACGAATTGCCGCGATCGCAGAAGGAATGGAGCGGAACGCCAGTCTGGTGGAGATGACGAACAACAGGAGCACTTTGATCAATGATCCTGGATGATTTAATCCTGGATGATTTTGGATGTGCATCATACTTGGCAAGTGCTTCATAACCTCATCGATATGGGTGAAATTTGGTGATTTCATGGTTATTAAAAACCGTACCAGGGGATGCAGGCCCAAGGATAGATTCAGGATGTGAAGCCCAAGGATCAGGGCGCTGAGGATTCGGTTCATTTTCCAACGGCTTGTTGGTAGGTTAGGAGATGTTAGGAACCCTTCAAACCTGGTTGGTGGTTTCAAACATGTTTTTGTTGTCCATAATATATGGGATAATCCTTCCCATTGACGAACTCATATTTTTCAAGATGGTTAAAACCACCAACCAGGAACCCTTCAAACACTTTGCCCAAACTGGTCATGTTTACTTCATCCAATGACAGACCCGCTTGGAAAAGGACCAATGCCACGAAAGGCACCTGGAAGCAGCTTGTGCGAGGCTGGGATCTAGTTGTTCCAGGGGTCAGAAAATTGGGTCACCATGTTTTGTGTCTTTTTCATGCCCTGTGTTTTAAAGTTTTTTGCCAAAGTGAACTGTGTTTTTTCTTTTTAACAGCAGCAATTACTTGTAGGTCGTAGTGGAATATAGCGGTTGGTGATTTTAACTTCAACACTGTTTCAAACTGTTCTCTGCATACCCTGCAGTAAACTAACGCAGCCATGCGAAATGTCCCATTTATAGATTGAGAGACCCACTGCCTGCTAAACATCTGGAAGAGCAAACCGATACCAAAACCTATGATTTGTGGTGCAGGAAGGGTGGCGGAACAGGGTGGCAGGACATTAAGGCTACTGATTTGTGGTGCAGGAAGGGTGGCGGAACAGGGTGGCAGGACATTAAGGCTACTGATTTGTGGTGCAGGAAGGGTGGCGGAAAAAGGTGGCAAAGCATCAGTGCTATTAGTGGTGCAGGAAGGGTGGCGGAACAGGGTGGCAGGACATTAAGGGTACTGATTTGTGGTGCAGGAAGGGTGGCGGAAAAAGGTGGCAAAGCATCAGTGCTATTAGTGGTGCACGAGGGGCGGCTGAGAGGGATGAGGGGGGATGAAAACTATTGATTTTTGGTGCCTCACAGCTGGCTGAAGAGGGTATTAGGAGGGCATCAAAGCTATTGATTTGAGGCATTTTGAGGCGCAGGACGGGTGGCAGAGAGCAGCAAGACATCAAGCCGACGGCGCATGAGATGTAGCACCCATGGGCGTCAAGGAAAAACTTTGTTCCTTGACAAAAATCAAAAAAACACAATGATAGTGACCATGCTTGGTGCTATTCCATGTTCACATCTCACTTAAACCCTGGGCTTCTATGGAAGATCTCCGAACTAATGCCCGCTGATGGGTGTTGATCCGCGCTGATCGGCGCTGATCGGCGCTGATCCGCGCTTAGAACTCGCTGATCCGCGCTGATCTGCGCTGATCCGCGCGCTGATCCGCGCTGATCGGCGCTGATTGGCCCTGATCCGCTCAGTGCCCGCTGATCCGCGCTGATCCGCGCTGTTCCGCGCTGGTCCACGCTGGTCCGCGCTGCTCCGTGCTGTTCCGCGCTGATCCGCGCTGATCCGCGCTGATCCGCACTGAGCCGCGCTGATCCGCGCTGATCCGCGCTGATCCGCACTGATCCGTGCTGATCTGCACTGGGCCGCGCTGATCCGCGCTGATCCGCGCTGATCCGCACTGATCCGCGCTGATCCGCGCTGATCCGCGCTGATCCGCCCTGATTCGCGCTGATCCACGCTGGGCCGCGCTGGACCGCGTTGATCCGCGCTGGGCCGCGTTGATCCGAGCTGATGCGCGCTGGGCCGCGCTGGGCCGCGTTGATCCGCGCTGGGCCGCGTTGATCCGCGCTGATCCGCGCTTACCCGCGCTGATCCGCGCTGATCCGCGCTGATCCGTGCTGATCCGCGTTGATCCGCGCTGATCCGCGCTGATCC